CTTCTTCTCTCTTTTTGAGACAGGATTTTACTATGCAATTCAGACTGGCCTTGAACTCACTATGTAGCCCAAACTGTCCTCATGCTCACAGTGATCTTCCTGCCTCAGCCTCCCAAGTGCTGCAATTACAGGCATGTGCCACCATACCCAGCAGCCCTTTCAGCTTTCGACAAACTGATACATATTGTCCTCTTGGTCTATCTATATGAAGATGTATTTTAATAGATTTTCTAGCATTCACTCCTATCTGTATTTATGGGTAATATCCATTTGACTCTGAACTTAGGGGAGATTTTTTTATTGCTCATTATCTATTTGGAATTTTTCTCAGTTTTATGGAAGATTTCTTTATGGTTTTCCTTTTGTCTGTTATCAAGGTAGCTTTTTATGTTATGTGGTGCTGGCTTTGTGCAAATAATTGCAAACCTCTGCTTTTCTCTTTAATTTATGTTGAATCAGAATTGTGTGTTCATTTGTAGTTTTAAATAATTCAATAGGATTTTGTCGGTTTATATCACAGTTACAAATCTACTTAATGTGTGCATCGATTCTTGAGAATATTTTGCAATCTACACGTTTCTGAAGAATCATCAAGGTACTCATATTCCAAATTTTTTAATTATAAGCAAGGAATTTAGCAAATTATTCTTTAAATAATTGATTTCTTCAGCGCTATTAACTCCCCATCGTTTTTATCCTCTGGTCCTTTCCCTCCTACCCTGTGTGATTTTCCTGAATCTGAATTTTGTGCCACTGTTTGTTGTTGTTGTCATTGCGGGTGTTGTTTGTGAGACAAGTATTGGGTTTTATATCTGTAGCTCAATTTGATTTTGTTCCGTTGGCATCAGTTTCTCCTTAATTATTATCTCTAGATTTACTAGTTTCACTTTTATGCTGCTGTCCTATCATCACTCATATTTTATAACAAAGTTTTAAGTAGAAAGCCATTAGTGTAGTAGATTGATAACTGGTGGTCAACTTGTAACCCCCAGCTGAACTGAGTAAGCGTGGTGCTGGGTGTGGGAGGCCCACCTGGGGACTGTTGCCAGCAGGATAAGAGGCAGAACTGGAGAAGAAGAAAAGAGGCTGCTGGGAGCTGAGGGAGCTGGTAGAAGCTGTAA